ATTTAGTATAAAATTTAATAAATTTATTCTGATTTTTATATTAAATTTAGAATATGGTTTATTATAAAATTTAATAAATATTTTCTGATTTTAATAAATATTTTAAAAATACTAACTAGTTAATATTTTATTACCTGAAAAATATTTTATGTTTTATATTATAAAGTAATTAATTTATTCTTTTATTTTTGTTTTTTGTTAATTATTTTTTATAAATATTTCATTTGAAATATTAATTAGAGATTATTAATGGAATAATTTATATTAATATACTATATTATATTAATATAATATACTAATATGTTATATTATTAATGTACATTAGTTGGCATCCTGTCGACATAATAGGAAAAACTGTCTTTTTTTTGGTTATTTGGACCGATTTGGTCAACATTTTCGAATTATAGGAAATGTCAACCGAAATAATGTAATTTTTATATTACCATCCATTTTCATGTTGGTGAGCCTCGACATCGACATATGTCGAGCGACATTAGCGAAATGTTGCGACATTTGAAACCATGCTTTCAACCTATAATGATGTAGCATGGTAAGATGCCCAAGCATGCAACCTGAGAAAGGCTGGATATATAATAAGATTTTGGAAAAGAGAGTAGAGGGCTGTCTACTAATGGGTGGGATGTTGGTTTGAATGCAAGGACCATCAGCACTCAACCCGATTTCCATCCTCCGCAACCCAATCACCCACCTACTGAATGCTTCCACCACAATAATAAAACGGAAAGGAGACGGGATCACCCTGTCTCAGCCCCTGTCAAACAAACAGGATTTCATCCACTACACCATCTCGCATCAAATGACCAAAACACATCCAAAATAGAAGATAATCAACAAACTCCTACTGGACATGGTCGTATACTTTGTCCACGTCCACTTTGCACAGCAGTCCTAGAAGATCCCTTCTCGGAGCTGAGAGTCCATACATTCATTAGCAATCAAATCTCCCTATAGAATTTGGCATCCATCCAAGAATGCACCTTGTGACAGAAATAGTGTGCTGAAGGGCCTTGCACAGACAATTAGCTAACACTTTAGAAATTAGCTTATTTGAGATTAGGCTAATCGGTTTGTAATCCTTCAAGTTTGCAACCCCTCGAATGTATGCTAGAGAAGTCTGTCTTCCATTTGTCACCTTAGATATGAATTAATATATTTACTAAGGGGTATACTTGTTATTTTGTATATTATTGAGACCAAAGTTGTCAAGGTTTCACCTAGGTGTCCTTGGCTGGACACCTCTCCTGAACTCCTTGTTTATAGCAACAAGGTGCTCGTTTGGGCAACTAGGCACACTACCTTGGTGATAAAAATGACAAGGTGGGCACTTTATTATAATACCATTCATATTGCTACATCTCACTAATATGCGTGTTAATACATTTTATTATATACCTATAGATATCATTTATACTTTTTTCAATCGTTTTACTACTGAAATTTAAAAGATTCAAGGGTTTTGAAAAGGGAGAGAGAGAGAATAGATAGAAATATAAAGAATTTCTTTTTTTAGTTTTTTTCTATTATCTCTCTCTTACATTAAGAAAAACTATGTCTCCACCCTTATTATTTTCTTTTTTACTTGCTCTATCTTAACTTTTATTATTTAAAATTTGACCTTCTTTAGTTGCTAATTTGATATGAAATTGCTCTATTAAATAATTATTACATCAGTATTATTTTTGAAAGTATTCTTCCTTTGAAAGCTTCTTTTTATTAAGCTTGTATGGCTCATTTGAAAACAGTTTTTCTGCTGAACAATAAAGTTTCTCTACAGATTTGGTGTTATTGCCTAGGGTTCTAATCTTATTTCCATCTCTTCTCTTCTCTCTCTGTTAGTTCTTTGTTTGTGCTACACATCTGGATCTAAGTTGGTTGCAAGAATAGTGCTGAATCACAAAGATCCTGCACCAAAATAGGGAGTAAAGAAAGGGAAGGAGGTGCTAGGAAGTAGGGCTGTTCACGGGTCGGGTTGGATCGGTTTACTAGTGTTTTTTCAACTGACCCGACCTGGTCGGGTTACCTATAGATTAAACCGAAACCAACCCTCTATTAAGTAAAACCGACCTGGTTGCTTTGAGTCAGTTTGGGTTTCAACCAACTCCAAGTTTGCACAATGCACATGAAGTCAAAGTGCTAATATTTTATATAGTATTTCAGAATATATTTTCTGGAAATATATATATCTGATATATTTCAGAATATATTTTTTTCAGATATATATTTATTATTTAAAACTAAAATATCTATATTTAACAGATATTTTTTCAGAATATATATTTTTTCAAATAACTCGGTTCGATTTCGGTTTTCACACATGAAAACCGAAACTGAACCGAATTATCGGTTTACTCATCTTTGCAACCCGAAACCAACCAGTAGTGAAGAAAAACCGACCGACTCGGGTTGGGTCGGGCCAGGTTGGTTGCTTTGGATTTATTTGTGAACAGCCCTACTAGGAAGAATCGTGGAGTTCATTGTTTCTGTTCAAATGGTAGAGGGACTCAACAAAGATGTAGGTGTGAGGAGAAGTGAGGAGGGGGACAAAGATGCAAGTCAGAGTTGCTGTGAAAAAGATACTTTGCACTAATTTGGTTGAAATAGAGGGGACAAAGGTTGTGGGAGGGAGAGGAGAGGAGCTAGCTGGCAAGGAGTTTAGAATGGTGTTGGGAGAGAAAAGAAAATAAAAGCAAAAGAGTAGTAGAGAGATTGAGTTAGTAGGGAGGGTGGGAGGAAAGGATTATGAAAGGTGGGTGGGGGAAAGCAAACCAAGGCAATAACGGAGGAGGAGGGGAAAGCAAGGGTTGTGAGGGTGGAGAAAGCAGAGAGATTGAGTTAGGAGGGAGGGTGGAATCGAATTCTCAAGTGTACCACAGAAAAAAGAAGAGTAGGTTAGTATAGGTGGAAGAAGAGAAAGAGGGTGTTGAGGGATAAAAGAGAAACTTGATGGAACAATTGGAAGAAGAAGAAGGGGGTGCTGAGGGAGAACAGAGTGATTTTGAGGAGGTGGAAGTGGACAGAACATTCAAGGTACAGAGGAAGGCTGATTTAGATAAGGTGGTGGAAACAGAGTTCAGGACCTTCAGGTAAGTAAAATTTTGGGCATTCCATTTATTGGAGGTGAGGAGTTTGCTGGAAGAGTCTTCAGGGAAGTGAAAGAGGAAATTGCCCTGTTCAGAACAGAGGAAACAAATTTTGGTTGGGGACGCTGGGCTGTTTTATTCTTCTTGCTCTTCTTTTGTTTGGATGACTCCCTTGTGAAGGATTTTTTCTTGTTTTTTGGGAGTTGGAGGGTTGGAAGGTTCAGAGTGATTTTTTGCTTCTTTGGTGATTGGTTCATCACCTGCATTTATATCCTGCTTCCTCTTTTCTTAATAAATTTTCTTTTTTTATTTATCTTCAGAAAAAGAAGATAAAGTTCAGCCAAAAGGCAAAATTTTTTACCTGCTATGAGCCAAGAGACAAATTGATTTCTAGAATTGGTTTTTTGATTGCAGAATAGGTAATTGCGTATCCTGAATTTAAAGACACTATTAGGGAAGCACTTGGATCAAGCTTGTGGTCTACACTGGGTTTGAGTTATAGGGAATTAGGGACTGAATGGGGTTCTTGGTCTTGTTGTATTCTTGATTGTTGAAGTGTGGTGTTTTATATTCTGGCTCTTTGTTTATTGGTTGTAATCCTTCTCTTTTATTTAATGCTTTTTTCCCTGTTACAATAGAAAAACTCATTTAGTCCTTCTGTACTGAAGGAGATGGGTAAAGTCAAACCTGGTGATAGTTTGGATTTAGACCTCAACCCTGGTACCTTAAATGATTCTGATGTATCTTGGTGGGACAGGTGATTGTAATATGAAAACCAAATCAATTTGTATTAAAGTATGTCGGTCATCCTGGAAAAATTAACTTTGTTTCCTTGGAGATCTAAGATTTGGCCCAGTTGATTGCCAAATAGTTATATCTTGGCTGAAGATTAGAGAAGAAATTCGTTGGAGGATGAGGCCTTTAGTAAGACAAGCACTTCCCCTAGGGGACCCCTTGAACTCCTCATTCAACTGGATACCTAGAAGTGCCAATTCGTTGGCTGACACATTGGCTAGAGCAGGGGTTTCAAAGGTTCATCTAGAGTGGAGTTGTCCATGGCTGGGCTATAGTCTATAACCTGTCAGTTTTTATTTTTGTTTAGCTTCAGCTTTGTACTTGGTTCCATATTCCTTTGGGGCCTATCTAATGTATTCTGGGGTTTTTCAGCTCCTTAATGAATGAATTTATCTGTTATTAATCAACAAAAAAAATTGACCCAGTTGATTATTGTTGACTGTAATGTTATTTGCTATGATATCTTTCTCTTCCTCTGAGCTGGACTTCTTTTCCTTTTCCCTGTTTCAGAGATAAAGCTTATGGATGTTCCTGAAATGAATTACACATCTGAGGATCAGCCCTATCCTCGTGGTGAAATCTGTGTCAGGGGTCCCATTGTATTCCAAGGCTACTATAAAGATGAAGTGCAAACGTATTTACTCCATAGAGTTTTCAGTTTATTGAGTGTGCTATAAAATTTTTCAAAACCAGATCTACCTGACAATTTACTACCATTGGGCAGGAGAGAGGTAATTGATGAAGATGGCTGGCTGCATACAGGAGACATAGGGTTGTGGTTGCCTGGAGGACGCTTAAAGATCATTGATAGGTGAGATCAAAGTTTCTTTTCTTTTAGTCCTCAAAGGAATGCATGCCACATACCATCATTTTTAGGTTTGAGTTTATGAATTTGACATGTAATGGAACATTTATATAACTCTTCCTATACAATTATGGTTTTACATCTAATAATCGAGAGACTGGTATTTGCTAATAAAATTGCCAGCTAAAGATCTTCACAACTCTTGGTGGTGTCTTCTTGACACCGGTGTTATGCATCTGCTCTTCATTAGAGGATATTTGATTTTTTTTTATTTAGTTTATCAATATATTAAAGGACATTTAGATAACAAAATAACAAATTGTGGTGTCTATGGGATTTATAGGATCCATGACCATAAATGTTGGGCAGTGAAGATACATCATGTCCAGAAATGAGTGTGGCAGAAATATGTATACTGAGATGGATGAGTGGAAAAACTAGAAAGGATAGGATCATAAATGAAGTTATTTGAAGGAACCTAGAAGTAGCTCCAATAGGTGATAAAATGAGAGAAAGTAGACTAAGATGGTTTGGTTGCACGCATGGAAGACCGACCATCAATAGCACCCATAAGAAGAGTTCTGTTGCAAGTTGAAAGGGCTAGAAGAAATGATTTAAGAGCTGATGATGATAAGCTTTTCATACCATTAATGCTATCTTTATTTTTTTTTATTTTTTGATAAAGTAAATTCATTAATTAGGAAAAAAGCAGAAGGCAACAAAACCACAGAAACGCATTTAACACTGACACAAACCCCAAGATAACTACCCCAAAGAAAAAATGAGCAGTTGCATTTGGATTGTCTTTCAACATAGTTAAAGCTCACTGTTACCTTTAACTAAGTGCAGAATACCTACGAGAATGAAAGGGATTCCCTTTCTACCATCAAAGGGAAATTTTGAAAGACTACGCACTACAATTCTACTGTCACTTTCCATGTTTCTAAACAAACGCTTCCTAGACTATGACCAACTTTTACAAGGAAGTTTCCATTGCACCCTCTTTCCACTATCCCAAAAGTTGCCAACCCCTTTCCTCTGTATCTATCATTGGTGCTAACCTTGATTTTTAACTCCCATAAGGCTCAATAGGCACCTTTTTATTCTCCTTGCCAGAGTTCTGTGATTCTTGTTTCAGAATAAACATCATCTTCTGAGAATCCTTGGAAGCATCATCAGTGGTTTTAGTTGGATTAGACAAAACACAGTTAAAAATTTGACCATTTCTTGATTTTCAGATTTTCCATGATAAATCAGCAATTAGATAATTTATTTCCTTCCTCCTAACTTTTCTTAAGTAAGTATTATCACTCCACTTGACTATGTTTCATACCTACTATCCTCCACTTTTATCAACTTTGAAATTCTGGTAGGAAAAAAAACATATTTAAGTTGGCACAAGGGGAGTATATATCACCAGAGAAGGTTGAGAACGTATATGCAAAATGCAAATTTGTCTCCCAATGTTTTGTATATGGTAAGGGATTTGAGATTCTATGTTTTCTTCATCAACTGCTAATTGGTCTTGTTTTTTCTGTTTAAATTAATTGGTTTCATTGCGATAGGTGACAGCTTGAAATCTTGCTTAGTAGCAATTGTCTCGGTGGACCAAGATACATTGAAGGTTTGGGCTGCAGCTGAAGGCATCAAGGTGGGTTGAAGAGTAATAATGCAATAATGGTAACAAGAATCAGCTCAAATGGAACATCTTTTAATTGTATCATATATTTGCACAGTACAAATGATGAAAAAGGGCTATCTTTGTTGCCTCAGAAAAAGTTTTATGACAACTAATTGTGTATGTCTGGCATAATCCTTTGCAGCATCAAGAAGAAAATGGAGAGATCCATAAGTATAGCACCATTACCATTGAGCTTTAGAATCTTATTGTGCCTCAGCTATCTAGAGATTCTATGCACATGGTGACATGGCTGAGGAGGGATGTTGGGGAAAGTGGTGAAATTTAGGGTTCAGATAGAGTGGAAATGTTAGGACCATATCCAGTCTATCCCTCCCAATACCCCAGATAGATAGGACCGACATTTGGTAATGACCTTTTTATAGAGTGTAAACATATGTGGCAGTTGAGAATGATATTAGGTCATATTTAGGCTTAAAATTTTGGTAATTATGCAGGAACAAGTTTAATTAGGTAGCCGAAGTTAAGGCTATATTGGAAACTGAAAACCAAAATAGGATGCTAGGTAGGTTTAGTGGAACACAGTTATGACTTCCTTTCATGAACTTTAGGGTTTTCTAGATTGGGGAAAATTGACTAGACTGGGTTTTCTTTGAGTGGAAGAGAGATAAGAATGGAGGGTTAAGAAAGTTGGTGTCATACTTGCGTTAGTCCTCATGCCAAATTTATCTTCCACTAGCAATCTTAATCAAGGCCAATCAGAAAACAAAGATCAAAATGTCAAGGCTGTGTTTGGTTGCAATGCAAATAAATTTGCACTAATGCAAAACCATGGCAGTGCAAATGATTTGTACTCCCATGCATTTGTACTAGTGCAAACAAATTTGCACTGCAACCAAATACAGCCTAAGGGTCCAAACCATAAATGACTTGGGATTCTGTTGGAACCACGACTTCTAGATGTTGTGAGTATCATACATGTATGAGCACCAAAATCTCCACATTTCATTTATTCAGAATCTATAATTAGTGCTGGAAGGAAAATCTCCAAACCCCATCATGGTGTTCAATTATTAAAACAAATTTAATTTAAAAAAAGAAGAAAAAGATTAATAGATGTTTTTTAGAAAATAATCTTATTTCATTTCTGTCTAAAACCTTGGTATGAGTGTATGACCCACAATTCCATCATATAGATAATGATAAACTTCAGATCTGCACTAATATTCAGTTAGAAATAGCAGTAGAAGAAGGTTAGAGAAGATAGAAGAGAGAAGAGAAGAGAGGAGAGGTGAAGAAGAAACTGGTTCGAACAAGAGAGAAAAGTCTTCTCTCTCTAGTCGGCCAGGTCATGTTTATAGTTTTCTAATATAAAACAAAAATTCTATTATGCCCCTACTTAAGTATGGGACACATCACTTATCTTAAACATTACACCTCACACCAAACATAAATAAAAAGACTAAACTAACCCTATACAGTTGACACTAACACTCCCCCTCAAGATGGTGAGTATATATTATATAGTCCCAGCTTGTTACATATGCAGTCCACTCTTCCTCAACTCAACCCTTTGGTGAACAAGTCTGCCCATTGACTTCCTGTGTTAACATATGCAATATCTATCACTCCACTAAGCACCTTGTCTCTCACAAAGTGATAATCAACTTCTATATGTTTTGTTCTCTCATGAAAAACTGGATTAGAAGAGATGTGAACTGCAGTTTGGTTGTCACAGTAAAGCTTCATAGGAGTGTCAATCGAGTACCCCATCTCTTGTAGAAGATTTCTCAACCACACTAGTTCACAAGTTGTATGTGCCATAGCTCTGTGTTCAGCTTCTACACTACTTGCCACCACTGTTTGCTTCATACTGTTCCATTTCACCAAATTACCCCCAAGAAAGGTACAATAACCTGTAGAGTATCTCTTTTCAGATACAAAACCAGCCCAATCAGCATCAGTGTATCCCTCTCTTTCAAGATTTCCTCCACTCTTGTATTACAAACCACGACTAGGAGCTCCCTTCAAATATCATACAATCCTTAGAACTGCACCCTAATGTGGAATCCAAGGATTTTGCATAAACTGACTTGCCACACTAACTTTAAATGAAATATCTGGTCGAGTAATAGTTAGGTAGTTTAGCTTACCCACCAACCTTCTGTACCTTCCAGGATGCTCGAACTCCTTACCCACATCACTACTCAGCTTGGTATTTGGTTCCAGAGGTGTTTCAACCGGTTTGACACCTAATAATCTCGTCTCCTCCAATAAATCAAGAACATACTTCCTCTGACATAGGTTAATACCTTGCTACTTCTATCCCCAAGAAATATTTTAATTTTCCAAGGTCCTTTGTTTGGAAGTGCTCCTGCAGAAAGGTCTTCAACCTTTTAATTCCAAACCTGTCTCTACCGGTAATAACAATGTCATCTACATATACTACTAATAAAATCGTCCCAACATGTGAATCATAGTTGAATACTGAGTGATCAACCTGACATTGTTTCATACCAAACTTCTTTATCATTTTACTAAATCTACCAAACCATGTATGGGGGGGACTGTTTAAGTCCATAAATGGACTTCTTTAGTCTACACACCTTACTACCATCCTCCCCTTGAGCAATAAACCTCAGTGGTTGCTCCATATAGATCTCCTCAAGGAGATCACCATGTAAAAAGTCATTCTTGATATCAAGCTGAAACCAAGGCCAATCATGCATAGCAGCTAGAGATATCAAAAACGAACTGAACCAATTTTAGCAACAGGAGAGAAGCATAGTTTTCAAGGCACCAAGGCAAGGCTAGGCGACCATGGGGTGCCCAGGCACCTAGGCAGCCACCTGGCCCTCACCTAGGTGATGAATTTCTACCCCTTCTGAACTAGTTTTTTTGGTTTTATGTATTCTGCACTTACTTTTGTGCTTGTGTTTCTTGCAATGTTGCTTGATGAGAACAATTACTAAAATAAAAGAAGAAAATGAAGAATAAAAGTAAGGGGCAGAGCCCCTATTCTAGACCCAGAAAAGAAGGTGAAAAAATATTAAAAGAAAAAAATATGAAGAAGAAAAGAAGGGGCTCTACCTCTGTTTCAGACACCAATGATGAGAACAAAAAAGGGCTGAAAAATGCAAGAAGCTAAGAACAAAAGAAGGGGGTGGAGCCCCTATTCTAGACCCATAAAAGCTAGTGAAAAAAAAATACTAAAATAAAAGAAGAATACGAAGAATTTCAGTCACCAATAATGAGGGAAAAAGAGTTGAAAACACACAAGAAATTTAAGAACAAAAGGGGGCGGAGCCCCTGTTTTAAACTAGGAAAGAAGAATGGTTTTAGTCCACAAAATGGAAGAGGAGGACAATAGGGCGTAACCACTGTTTTAAACCAGTGGAAAGAGAGAATAAAACGAAGGAGGAAACTGGTTAACTCACCTTGACTCAGAGGATTGTGTTAGAACAATGGAGGGCTGTTGTTCTCTCCTCTTCGTCATTCGATTCTTTTGTCAAAGTGAAACCCTTGAGATTATTTTGTTTATACTTTCCTCATAAAAAAAACATGATAACATGCAACATGTCCTATTATAAAAACTAAAACCAACCAATAAAATATTATATATTTTATATATTTTTTTATTTAATAAATATTTTATATTATAAATGTGTTTCAGTCCCCACAGCATGTGCCTAATACATTTTTTCTTGGCGTTTGGGTGAGGCACTCCTTGAAAAGCGCCTAGTTGCCTAGGTGTCGCCTTGACAACTATGGAGAGAAGGTCTTGATGTAGTCAATACCATACATTTTGGAATATCCTTTGGCAACTAGTCGAGCTTTCAACCACTCTACACTACCATCAGATAAATACTTAACAATGTATACCCACTTACAACCTACAACATGCTTACTAGGGGGAGCGTGGTGAGGTCCCATGTATGATTATGAGCCAAAGCTGAGAGTTCTTCTTCCATTACATGGAGCCACCCTGGAGAGGCAAGGGCTTCTTGGACATCCATAGGAACAGAAATAGAAGATAACATAGAAACAAACTAGGGATGGGAAGCAGAAAGGTGAGATATAGAAATTTGAAATGGGATGAAGTGTGCAATTGTGTTTTCCTTTCCGCAAGGCAATAGGAAGATCAAGGTCAGAAATAGGGGTGGGGCTGGTGTGGGAACAACTGCCAGATCTGTCTACAGTGAAGAAGTTGGAGGAGGAACTGGTACATGTTGTCAATGCATATACACTTGTTGAATGGGTGGCCGACCAACAGGAAGTTGCACTGGAGGCGAAGACTTGGTCACAACTGGAACAAGTGGAATGGGGTCCTCAATGGAAACTGGAAGAGGCGGTGGAGAAGAAGAGACATCACTTGACCCAAAAAAAAATAGAATAAACTCAAAGAAAGTAACACCGGGACATAGAAAGGAATGTCGAGAATTTGGGTTATAGCACTTATACCCTTTTTGGGTCCGCAAATAGCCAAGGAAGATACATTTAGTGGATCGTGCATCTAATTTGTCCATTCTAGGTCCAAGATTATGGACAAAACAGACACATCCAAAAACCCCGGGTGTAATAGGAAATGGAGACAAGGTAGGAAACAAAGTTGTGAAAGGAGAATGGCCTTCAAGGATGGGCATAGGCATCCGTTTAATGAGGAAGCAAGGTGTAAGCATAGCATCACTCAAAAACGTTTAGGTACATTCATATGGTGCAAAAGGGATTGAGCAGTTTCCAAAAGATGATGGTTATTTCTCTCAACCACCCCATTTTGTTGTGGGGTGTAGGTATATGAGGTCTAATGGATAATGCCATGTTGTTCTAAATACTCCTAAAATGGTGTATAAATGTATTCTTGGCCAGTATCAGAATGAAGAATCTTAATGTGTACATCGAATTGGTTGTGGATTTTAGCATAAAATTTTTGGAAAATGGAACACAATTTACTCCTTTCTTTTATAAGATAAATCCACGTCATCTTTGAATAATCATCAACAAAAATAACAAAT